AAAAAAAAAAAAAAACACCCTCACATGATGACAGAACAGAACCATATACAAAAAAGACTCCAAAAGCCAACCTTACTGGGCCAAATTATATCTTTAGATGTGCCACCTGAAAGTACTTAATAAGGAAGTAATTTGGAGAACTACCTTGGGTTCCTGTGACATTGTCAGATAAATACCTTCCAAATAGGAATCCTCAGGAGCCACTCAGCGGAAAGGCAAACGACTGAATATAAACATGGTTCAAACCACTGCTCTGCTACTACAGGAAGTTTCTTCAGGTAGATAAGTTTGCACTGCCACCTAGCTTTGGTGAAATAGTACAATCCAGGAGGAAAGAAAAAATGTTACTTTGCTCCCCAGTACAGCTGCAGAAAATACAACTTCTTCAATAACTGAATCTATTGCAACAGCTGGATGCAATAGCGCCTTTCTTGGTATGCCTTTGAAGTCTTTCTGAACAGCAAGGAGAATTGAATGTAGTATGTACATACGCTTTGGAGCTACACAGGACTTAGCCTGAGATTCAAGCGCAATACAGAGTGCTTTCAGCAAGCACTTCTGCTATTGGAGTGTTTGATGCCATAAAAGCGACATCATCTGCAGATTCCAAAGGTATTGGGGATGATTTTGTAATTTCCTTTCACTTCATTTGATGCCAAAGATGTGGGTCTCTCTAAATTTTTTCTCTAAAATCTTCTAAAGTGTAAGGACAAATGAATGTGCATATATTTTTTACAAAAATCAAAATAAAGTATGTAAAGAATTAAGTATTTTCATGCAAGTCTGTGAAAATATACAGAAAACGCTTATCTTCCAAATGGCTTTAGTGAATTTTTGCACTTTAAACAAAATATCTCTGAACAGAAATTAGTTTGATATTACAGCATATTGTGAAAACTATACCTCATACTGCAAGAAGCTTTAACATTCTTTTTAATACAAACAATGCAAACAAGTAAAACTGAAGCATATTTTTTATGTGAACGATTTCAAAGATAAATCAGTACATGTGATAATGTTGCCTTGGAAATTACATGTTAATAATAAAATGTTGGCTGCCTGTTCTAAGGATAGGAAGCAAAATTCAGTTAGCTTTTATAAACTAAGTTGACAAAAAATGTTCTGATAGTGGCAAGGTTATAAAAAACCTCTCCATTTTATTAAAAAGAACACAAGCATATGAATGCTGTTTCTTCTGGAAGTTCAATTATTTTGTTGATTTTCAGTTATGTTATAACAGTTAAATCTACTAAAGGTAGCTGGAATCTCTTTCTTGGGCAACTTTGGGAAGTTCAGTTTTAATTATCTTAACATGTTAAAAATACTTAATGTACTATGGTATTAATTATAGTAGTTTAACTGGCAAGTACTCACTGCGACTCGGACAACTGGTGTAAACTGAAATGAGTGGTTCCAGCTCGACACTAGGAAAACCACTTTCCTCCCAAGAACAGACAGGCATCACAACAGGGGAGCAGAGAATGTCATCTCCATTCTTGGAGGTTTCATTGCCAGACATGACAAAGCCCTGTAACCAGATCTGATCTCAAAGGTGGGCCTGCCCTGAGCAGGAGGTTGGGCTAAAGCCCTGCTGGGGCTGGGTCCAACCCAAAGGATATTATGACTCTTGATCCTACTCTGCAGCTGCTAACTTCCATACATAAAGCAGAACTAGCTATAAGAATCCTGTGAATTACCTACAAAGCAGGCATTTGATTGTCTGTGAATTTGGCTCTTACTATTGGCCAGGTTTGTCCACAGAAATTGCATGAGATTTCCAACAAGTAACAGTTTGTTCATGGGAGGCACAAAACCATCTGCAGTACTTCAGGTGCAGTACTTTGCCTTATGTATCTATCACAGGTAGGAGTTTTTTACAAGTAGTATTTGAAATCAAGTAAAATAGAATAGCTATAGATCCCATGTATGGGCTTAGGCCCTTGATTTAACAGAATCTTACAGGACTAGATTTCACATTATAGTCAACTGCTGACTGAAAAAAGAACTTAAAGCAACTAATTCTTGCCGCAAGACAATGCAGCTTTCATACCATTATTTGTCAGCCACCTTCTGAACAATTCATAAGCAAGCAAGCAGGAAAACATGTTATCCCACTGATCCAGCAGACAGACAAACTTGTTCATCTGCTACTTTGTCAACTTACAGAAATCCAGTTCCCAGAAAGAATATCATCTGAATTTCCTGTCATCTCAGATAATTGTATTAAATATTAAATAAGTTACAAATCTCCCATAAAAATTGTTTATGCCCTATAAGGAAATTATAAAAATTTAAGTCAACTCTCAGTTATTTATCGTAACTTTATTCTCAGCAGCAAAAAAAAAAAAAAAAAACCAACCAAAAAAAACCTATGCTGAATATCAGTTTGGTTCCAGGAAAGAGAAAATACTTTTAAATATTTAGTTTGTACAAACGGTAGTCCTTAAAATACATTTCAACAGTGAAAAAGCCATGTAAGATATCAGCATATTCTTTTGTTTTACTGTTTGACTAGAAACTATTTGAAAGCAAATACATTAAGGCAACGTTAAAAATTATAACTAGAAATGGAAGTACTTGATTTAAAAATATAAACAAATTATATTTTGCCACCATTCTTCAGCATGAGCTGGTGCCGTACATCTACTCCCCAGCTGTTTGAACTGAGTTACCTGACATGGATAGCAGCAGCAGACTTTAAAGTATCTCACACTAAATTTATCACAAAATCTAAAATAATTTTAAAGGAAAAAAATATATACTTTATTCAAATGGACACTTCTTAAACCCCAAATTTTAGAAGAGACCAATATAATCAGTTTTCATTTTTTCTTGTTAAACCTTTACAGATAGATACAACCTGATAAAAATATATAACTTGATAAAAATTTAAAATTTAAAACCAGAAATATTACAAACATCCCAGTTAAGCTTCTGCTACAAAAACTGAATTCAGTGAGTGAGACTGGGACCTTGTAAAGCTGTGCACAGAGGTGTGAAAAGGACGCTTTAATACAGAACTTGCAGTGTGTCCTTTCTATATGCAATTGCATGTTGCTTGGGAACTCTCCAGGTCATCAGTGTTGACGCCATAGAGATTAATAAGTTGAGGATGCACCCTGTGAAGTGAGGAAGTCAAATGTTATCAATTTCATTAATTCTTGCAATGAGAATGCCATTTTGGGGGGCTGAGGGCAGGGAGAACAAATACGTATGATCTGCTATACAGAATAAAATCAAGTGAATTGCATTTTGACAGTTCCTAGAAGGTCATCTTTAGAAGTATTTATTACATATTCTATAACATGATCCATCTTTTATTTTGCATACCAGGCTGTTACTCTGAGCTCTGTGCCTCCAACTAATCCTGTGGGCATTGCAGCAGAGTGAGCCAACACCCGCTTAATTCCACTGATAATCCTCCTATTTCCCTATGTATTCATAGTCTCTGTCTTAGATCCTAGATACGGAGGAGACTATTCTCAAGCAGCACTAAGGTTTCCACAACTGGACAACTACACGTTTTTATTAACCTTACACACACTGCTTTCCAAGCAGGAATCCTTATTCCAAAATAAGCTCCTTCTAGGAGTCACAGACCTTTATATCCATCTGCTGTTCTGTAAGAAACAGAAGGGCAAAGTAAGTGGCAGAAAGTGGAGTTGGAAGCTGATGAAGCACTAGAAAGGAAAGGCCAGGTGGGTCATAACAAACCTTTCCAAAAACAGGCATGAGGCAACAGGGCAGAGTCCCAAACAATGGCAAAAGGGACCGACTGCAGTGCATACCAGTACTACTCTAAGAGTTTACAACACCTAATTTTAGTGTCATCTTTATTATATACAGATGTAACACAGTTAAGATTGCAGTACTAATCTGTTACGTGTATACAGTCCATAAACATAATACTTAGACTTACCGAACATGAATTTGTGATGCTTCTTTCATTAAGTCTCCATCTATATTCCAAGGGTAATTTCCTTCTGCAGAAGCAGCATTCAAATACCTATTTTCTTTGGC